GTAGAACTTGCATGCTATGTAACATTATGTAAAGAAAAAAAACAGGGAAATAATATGCGTCATAAATTAGAAAGCATTCCAAGTTGTATGATTTATTATAAAACATTCTGTTGAAGAAACTGATTCTTAAAATATATTAGACATCTGATAAATATATATCAAAGTAAAATTCATATAGCAAAAACGAGGTCGAATTGGTAAATGAATAGCAAGAAGCGCTTAGAAATTGTTAAGAAAAGTTTAGCAACACGTTTTCTTTAATGTGAAATAATTATTTACAAGAAGCGCGATAATTCATATAAGGCTCCTCACCCCCTCCTCAAAAATAAGTCAATTTTCGTTAGAACTGTCAAAATTGATATAAATACATAGAAGAATAGCCCGTCGTCTGCTCTTTCAAAATTAATAAAAGTTTTTCCTAAAACCTCCATTTTCACTAGAAATTTTTCAGGATTTTAGAGCACCAGTTTTTGAAAAACCAGTGTTCTTTGAACTATCCAAAAATCTTTTTCGTTTTTCGTACGCGTATCTCAAATTTCTCTTTGATGGCTCGTCCAATGTATTAATATGTTTGTTTGTTTGAAAGACCGGGTCAAGACGCAAGACACTACACGTCGTCCTTTTTATGAAATGCCCCTTTTCTTTACTCAGTGCTTTTCGATAAAAAATGAGATATTTCAAAAAAAAGGGCGACGTAGTGCTGTGTATCTTGACACACTCTTTGGAACAGAAAAAAATATTAAGAGATTGGACGAACCATTACGGAGAAATATGGGTTTTCAAATTAGCCATCTTTTGACATACATTGGTGAATATCTCCATTAAATAAAATAGTTTTTGGCTGAAAATTTTATCATAGACTTTCTTTGATGCACTCAACATGTCCTCAATATTTCAGCTCATTCCAGCGTTCCTGGGTCAAAATCGATTTTTGAGGGGGAAGGAGAAGAGGCGAGACTTAAATAAAAAATTAATTCTATGCAAATAGGACGCTATTGATTCACTTATTCACACAAGCAGGGACTTTTTCAACTTTATAAAATTCTTCTTTTTTGTTCTCAGAATACGAAATTATTAATGCTATTAGCTGACAAGCTATTTTTTATTTGAGGGATGCGCGACCAAGGGGAAAAAGAAGACTTCTGTACTTCTGTGCTTCTATATACTTCTTCGTACTTCTTCCTACTTCTAAATACTTTCCCATACTTGGCAACATGGATACCTATTTGCTTCTATATAGATTTAGGTAATTGTTTCACTCAATAATTAGAAGAAATATAGTCAGTTTTTATTTATGATATAGATTTTGATTTAAAAAGATTAATAAACAAATAATGAACGAAGAATATATAGCAGAAGATTAAGTATCGGTTCTCTTTTACCAGTATTTTTTGCACTAACATATTCAAAGAGAAAAAGTGTGGATGTGGGGTATGTGCTGTATAAATTAGAAGATTTGAAACACACCCACGTCCACACCCTGCTAGGGATCTGGGTAGTCAGTTTTTTTTATTCCGAAACCCGACTTCGACTGCGAAAAATTTCTTCCTTACGACTCCGGCTCCAACTCCGAAAATTTTTATTCTTTGACTCCCATTCCAATTCCGAAAAGATCCGAGAAACTCTGAAATTTTTTATTAATAAAAGGAAATCTCAAATATGTTTTATTGTTTAATTTACAGCATGCGGAAATCAATATTAGGACTGCTACATTACTACCATGAAGTTTCTCTAAAGTGAGCACGATCGAGACTATTGAAAAATGTTCTTGATAGCCAGATGTTTGCCTTGGGAAGATCCATTTTCAGCAAAAACAGCCTATCCGAACTCGTGAATAACACTAATAATAACGAGGTTTTTACTACAGAAAGACGCTCACTACTAAAATTTTTACTGCATTGTTTTTTATACTAGTACTAGGTAACTGGTAATAATTTTATATACTTTTTTACTAGTAAAAAACTAATAACAACATTGCTTCTATGAGTTACTAGTTTTAATACCATACTACTTTATAACATTTTTACTTTATTCCCTCTGTTACTTTGGTAGATTATTTCTAATTAAATACAATAATTAATAACCTTATATGCTGTTACTTACTACCAGTAATAGTAATGTAGTTCTGAACGATAAAGAAATAAACGAGTGAAGAAATATCTAAGGATCATTAATAGATTACTTTGAAATTTCTTGTACATTCATTGTTCAGTGAAAATAGAAAACAATCACTGGCAAGTTTTCGATATGTACTATACTCTAAGTTAAAATGTGTCGACTTTTTCCGTCTTAAATTATAGCGTCGTGGGTTTCAGCAAGAAAATGTGTCGCACTTTAATATATCGTATTTTTATCCGTTCTGTATGTATATGACGACTGTTCATTCACCCATTTTGTTCCGTGTGTATATCTATATATAATTTATCTGAACCATCACATGAAAATCATAAGTTTTCGTGCCCTATTCTATATAATTTATTTCTCCATTACATATTTCTTGTAAATATTTCGAGAAGTAATGACCTCACCTAAAGAGAGGTCTACCTGGCAATAGTCCAACCAAGATCCGCCTGGTTTATACTCTTGCATCAAACACCGATGTTAATTGTATTAATTAAATATGGATGAATATAATGCCCGAAAGAAAAAAAAATTATGGATACGGTGAAGCCTAGACTCGAACATTGATTTCAGAATGTGTCGTACACTTGCTGGAAAAAATGTCTCGCAACGAGCACCTCGTGTCGTGCTCGAATGTGTTGTGAATTTCGACATATCCGACACATTTTAACTTAGAGTGTATGTTCAAGGAATTGAAAATTGATGATTAAGAAAATTGTAGTACTACGGATGAAATTGCAATATATTTTCATTGATGACATTATGCTTTTATGTAGCCAGTCTTTTAAACGATGCAGCCAAAAGATTATCGATGTGAGGCTTTTCCTTGAAATTCGTTCTTAATATATGCAGCAACTGTTATCTCTCTTTTTTTGTTTGTTAAGCTGAAGAATAATGCTGCTCTTATTTGAAATAGTAAAAGTTATTCAAACGTGGTCATGATGTTGACTCCAAAAAGTTTTTTCAGAACACCGGACGCCGACGCCGTCGGAGTTGAAATCGGCCTTCGGAGTACTCCACAGTTCTCTACACTCCACACACCCACACCCTTAATAAATATCTTAAGCCACCCAAAATGTCTTTTCTCTCTGTAAACATTTCTACACTTCTCGGTACTTCTCTATACTTCTTGGTACTTCTTGGTACTTCCGAAGTGCAGAAACCTGATTTTCCCCCCTTGTGCGCGACTATGAGTACTAAATGTCCTCTGAAATAAACATCAAACTTGTACTTCCACATACTGTGAATATCATATTTACTGAGGAAAATCTTAGAATAGGTGGGGATGTATTCCCAGTACATATCGTTTTCAGAGTACATTGGAGTGTATTCTCAACTATTCTAAATTTTTTCCAGTATGTGTAGCTGTCTGAATATATGTTTGGGTTATGATAGTACACGAGTAGATCACAGCGCAAATTGTACTGGTATTCGCGCGCCTCTGTTTTATTTCGTATTTGACAATTTGTTCAAATAAGCTTTTATTGCTCAATATTTATTGCTGCATTAGCAAGAGACGTATTTAAACTTAATTAAAGCTCGTAGAAAATTGATTGAAAGAACATACTCGAGGCATAGTCCATGTGTAGAACATCAAACGTTGAAGTCATACAAAACGTGCTAACGCGATAGGAAAGATTTTGGAATGGAAAAGTTCATTACAATAAGAGTATATAGTAACGATCAGGGATTGTCATTTTTATAAATACGACATTGAGATGGAAGTGAAAGAAAAGGCTATGTTATTCTATAGCTATCAATTTCGTATCCTACGCAGAAGAGTTAAATATTTCATATTTTTGTGACTAAAATCGAATTTAATACGCTATAAGGAAAACGGTTTGTGATCTTATGTCAAAAGATTTATTCATTGATCTGATCCAAAAAAAAGGATCTGTTTCTCAATAGCGGAGAGCAGATTTCATACTGTTCGAAAATCAACAAGTTTCATTGGTTCCTTTTTTTGTCTTAAATGATTATGACTTTAACTAAGAGTATACCAAAAGAAGTGGCATAGATATTTTATTTTTTTGTTATTATATAAAGCTTGAATTTATTTTCTTTGTTTATGCAGTTCTAGAGAATATGATATTGTATCTTTCTGTGCTTTTTGATCACTCTTTAGCTAATATCATTGTAATGCAATTTCGATAAGAACTATTTTTGCGTTCGACTTCAATAAAATATGCGGTAGATTATATTTAATAGACATTCAGGTTTTTGCAATTCATTCCTTAATGATTTATTACGTTGTGTGATAAACATAAAATATACCAGCAGATAAAGCGTTAAAATCTCTACAATTTTAAAAGAATAGCTTATTCCGATAACTGAAAAAAGCTCAACCAATCGTTCTCATATTTGAGCTCGACTAAGATATTGTTGAGAAAATGTTCTATAGAAAATTCTATCGTAAGTGAACTCTTCTATTTAAAGTTATCGTACAAACGAATAGATGGCCGTCCGAACACACTGACCGATTCTAGTATCTACTTAATTTTCAGCATAGAATGTCATATTTTGATAATAATTAGATATAATTCCTAACTGTTCTCGAAGTATTAGTTTCTGATCTAAGCCTTGATGGTTGACATGGTTTTGTATTAAGAACAATTAATCTCTTAGTCACAACTACTCGTAAATGTTTTTTCTATATGGAACAAACTTGCAACAATATTTTTCACCGAATCTTTTTACATAGTAAACTTTCAAGACAAGATTCTAAATTTATATTACTGATCATGTGCAGATAGACATGATAAACTCCTATAGTGTTTAGTAAATCATTAACTTATAAATACTAAACAAAATCCAATATGAATACCATTGGATGTATTCAGATTATGTGGTATATCTCTGTCTTCTCTTTCAGATAAGAAATGGTCTATAGTTATGTACACTTCAGTATTCTTGTTTTGATACTTTCGACATTGTTCTTCTGCTCAAAAATTTTTGCGTGTTCGTGTTCGAAACGCATAAATTCTTTAGAGACAGATTTCGAAGCAACTGATTATATTTTCATTGGTACTGTGACAAAAACAACAATAACTTGGAGAAACAACGAGTCGGAAGCTAGTCGCGATGTTCAAATTCACATTGATGAAGTTTTTAAGCAACCAATAATATCGAATAATCAATCAATAACAATATACACTCCGAAAGATCGATCTGGATGTGGTCTTAAAATGAAAGTGAATCAACGATGGCAAGTTTGGGCTAAATATACAACTATGTTTTCAGATGATAATAATCGTCGCTGGCTAACGGTTGATACTTGTGGACGTACTACTAAAATCTATAATCGGTATGGTAAACAGCTGCGCCGATTGTCTAATATGACATCAATTGAAGAAAAACTTATTTATTAAATAGTTTCATTTTTTGATAGGAAACAAATATTTTAACAAACGTTCGAACCAAAAATTTTTCTGATTTATCTCAATTCGTCATATTTTGCATGATTTAAGTGTGATTTTATCGTATTTTGTTTATTAGTTAACAATTCTTTATGTTCTATTCAAGGAAAGAAATACATCGAATAAATGAGAAATAATTATTATGTAAAAAATTGGTTGGTCACAAAACTACCAAATTTTGGAATGATTGATTGGAGCGGTTTTAGATTTAGTGGAACGAAGGTCATTCGATAGTTTTATTAGAGAATGCTTTTTCTGAAAGGATTGATAGGATCCTATCTACTTGAATCGAAGGATTGATTTTTCATTCTTCTAGATTTCCGAAGATTTCGGTATTGTTATAAACTGTTGTTAACGTCAATGTGTTCAAAAGATATTCTAGTCATTTGATATTCTAACACAATTTAGCTGTGTCATCATAAAGATCATTTCCATCTTACTTAGATACTACTTAGTAGGTTATTTCCTTGAAATAACATGCACAAATAGTACTTGTTGGTCAGTCTCGTCTCATCGAGCAATGACGTTGAATGATAATATGGAATGAATTTTGTTCCTTTGTTGTATTTTTATTTTTATTCTGTAACAAAACAACTCAATCAATCAAGTTAAATAGTTTCAAAATGTGTTGATAGTACTGAATCAGATATCTCGTTTATTTTCAGTTTAGATTTTGCTTTGAGTTCCTTCGCTGGTAGAAATTTTTTAAGTAATGACGACTCATTTTCTTGATTCGCTTCCTGAAAATGAAAGGATATCGAGGTGAGTACTATTTTACTTTTGAATAGTATTGACATTCACAAATGAATAGATTGTGACATAACCAAATAGGTTTTTTTTTATTAGTTTTTACTCGACAGAAAATGACAGAGATAGCACGTGGTTCTATCCGAGTTATTGAATCAATCTTCTCAGCTTGATTCAGAGGATTTTTAACTGAGACAAACGAAAATTTCGAATGTTGATAACGAATATTTTTCTAGACGATAAAGCGCATAGCTGCATTAGTGTTAATGTATACTCTTTCATTTTCAAATTCTAAGAAAATCTAGAGTAGATGTGCATTTCAAATATTTGACGTCAATATCGAATTTCAACATAGAAAGATTAAAAAAAAGAATTACAATTATATTTATAATTAGTAGCCGTCATATGATATGTCGAAAGACCCAATGATCATCAAACTTCTTAAGCTAACTGTGATTGATCGTTTACAAAACTGAAACATCGCATTCGTTTCCAAGCTTAGAGAGAACTAATCATCTATATAATGAAGAGAAGGTTTATAAATTGTCTCAAATCGTTAAACTTGTGTTTAACTTGTTTTAACGCTCTTCTTTTTTGGTGTGTAGATATATAAAGATTTCGCAATAAGAAATCTATCAAAATAGCTAGCAAGACC